AAAAAAAAAAAAAAGAAAAAAGACTTTACTAAAATACCTGTACTTGGCTTGTGAATAGACAAGTGAATTCAGGAGGAACCATAATTTGTTGTCTTAAAGACGTGGTGGGGGGAAAGAGCCCATATTTTGGGGTGGAAGAGAGGGGAGATAGGAGTCTCCCTTGGGGAATAGGGACATTTGTGGAGTGATTACAGTGACAAATGAAACTAAAGACATTTTGTGAAGCAAATTTCTAGATAGAGCATAGGAGGAAATCTTGGATAGAGGGAGAATGGAAGGTGAACCTGATAGCCAGACAAGTAATAAATTTAATAATTCCTACCATCAGAGGGGACATAACACTTGCAAATAAAAAAAAAAGAGGGTGCTAAGTGCTTCCAGTAGAACATTGCCTGTGTTATGTAAGCCTGAGTATTGGCCTGGTTGTATGGATAAAAAAATGCACGCTGGCATGCTTTTGAGACTTCTTCTCTTGGTCCCTGGCTGAGGATGAGTGAATTCATCACTTTTTGTTTTAAGTATATATAACATTTACAAATTTAATCATTTTTTAAGTATACAGTTCAGTAGCATTAAATACATTAACACTAATGTGCAACCATCACCACTATCCAACTCCAGAACTTTTTCATCTTCCTGAACTGAAACATTTTGCCCATCAAACAGTAATTCTCCATTCCCCGGTTTCACCAGCACTGTTCTACTTTTTGTCTCTATGGAATTAATCACTTTTTAAGCGGAAGAGATTTGGGCCCCTATACAGTCTTAGAAATCTTTCAGGAAATTTCCAGTTAATCAGAGTGCCCTTCCCTCAAATTGGGACATTTGATAACTAGGCCTATAGTGAGGAGGGAAGGAATGTTCTATAGAACATTCTTATGTTCCAATAAGACTTGGAAACAGCATCGTTGCTTTTCCAGGACTGACTTAGGGTTTGCATTTACAGCTTTCAAGATCCTGATGTTTTGATGGAAGCTATATTCTATTATTTCATCTACATCTCTCAAAATACAGTGAGGAAGAGGAAAGGATATGAGATTGTTTATTTAGCTAATTGTTGTGTTGGGTGCTAAGGATGTCAAAATCAAAAACAATGAACAAGGGTATTCTCTGCCCTCAAGATGACTACAAGTCTAGTGAGAGATATAAACAGAAACAAAGTACGATGTAGTTACCTATATAATGAAAGTATTTGCAAAGTGATATAGAAGCATAACAGAACAACCAAAGAACTCTTTCTAGGGAATAGGGTAGCACTTTTTAAAAAAATTTTTTTTGAGACAGAGGCTCAAGCTGTCACCCTGGGTAGAGTGCTATGGCATCACAGCTCACAGCAACCTCCAACTCCTGGGCTTAAGCGAATCTCTTGCCTTAGCCTCCCAAGTAGCTGGGACTACAGGCGCCTGCCACCATGCCTGGCCATTTTTTGGTTGCAGTTGTCATTGTTGTTTGGCAGGCCCAGGCTGGATTTGAACCCGCCAGCTCTGGTGTATGTGGCTGGCACCTGAGCCGCTTGAGCCACAGGCACTGAGACAGGGTAGTACTTTTTAAAATGTGTTTGGAAAAGTTAATCTCATGAAATCTTTGATAAAAGTATACTTTGGTCAAATTCATTGGGCAAATACTAAATATAGTCTTTATTAGGAGATACATAGTTCAAATTAGCATGTTAAAAGCTCTGAAAAGTACACAAAAATTTAATTATTTTCCAATTTTTTATTGTACTAAAAATATATATAACATAAAATTTACCACTGTAACCATTTTTTTGGAGGCAGAGTCTCACTTTGTCACCCTTGGTAGACTGCCTTGGTGTGTCATAGCTCGGAACAACCTCAAACTCTTGGACTCAAGTGATTCTCTTGCCTCAGCGTCCCAAGTAGCTTGGGACTAGAGGCACTCAGCTATATTTAGAGACGATGTCTCACTCTGGCTCAGGCTGGTCTTAAACCTGTGAGCTCAGGCAATCCACCTACCTTGACTTCCCAGAATACTAGTATTACAGGCATGAGCCACTGTGCCTGGCTCACTATAACCATTTTTAAATGGTCAGTGCAATGACATTGAGTATAGTCACATTGTTGTACAACATCACCACTCACTATCCATCTCTAGAATATTTTAATTTTTTTAACAGTGAACTTTATTTCTGCTAGACATCTATAAACTTACTACAGAATATTCTTTGTGAAAAGGTTAGGTATTTCACAGAGTATATGAAGTATAAACTGAGTGGTTAAAGAATCTTACAGGCTGGGATCTTTGAAATAGATAACTTCCTGCCTCGTTCCTTTGAGAATTCAGGGTTTAATATTGCTCATGGTTATGCCGGACTGTCTCCATGGTGGTAAAACCTTACATGGGACATAGCTAAAACCAGATACCTGCTCATAACAAAAGAAAGGTTGAAGGATGGTTAAGTTCTAGTTTCTTCTCTCTCTGCATCTGCTACTTTCTGCCTCCTACTCTTTATTTCACACTATCTCATCCAAGCTGTGTCTTGCTTTCCCACCTATAATTTTTTTCCCCCCTCGCAGCTCCTGGGTAAGACTGTTCATAAATACCCTTTACTGTACCTCTGGTTTTTGTCAGAGTGGAAGTCCTTTTGAACTCTTCTTACAACATCAGAAACATAGTGTACCTATTTGGCTCTGACTGCCTTTCCTGGACTACATTATATTGTTACCAGAATTGCTGGGCTCTGGCTGTTTTCCTGTAACGTACATTAAGCTGGACTTAATTTCAGTCAGAAATGACTAAATTACTAGTCATAGGCAAACATTGTTAGGTTCATTTTATAGATATGGAAACAAAAGTACAATCACTGTTAGGATTCTTTTTTTCACATTATTTGAAATGCAAAGTTTATGAGCCAGAGCTCTCTTCTGTGAGAGAATATATATTAGAAAATGATTTTTTTAATGCAAAGGTTAGATATTATAATTATAATTATAGATATTAGATATAATTATAAAACGCAAATATTAGATATTATAATATAATTCTAAAACAATTTTTTTAACGCAAAGATTAGATCTAATTATGGAGTTTTTGCTACTGTAGGCTTCGTTATATTAAAACTACTCCTTACTGTTTTGAGCTCAGGAAGCCCAGAATTATCTTCTTCATTCCAGTCATGCTAAACTGGAGCCCATGTTAGTTGTCTTGAGTAAGCTCTGAAAGGGATTTGTTGGGGAGACGGGATTTTTTTTCTTAGTTTTGTATATAAGACAGTGTTCTAAAAAGAGTTTTTACTGGATCAGCCTTAGTCACTTTTTCCTTGTGTGCTGTTATGTGTTTGAATGTTAGTTTTAAAGCAGTGGTGTAATGGTCTTATGATTTATCTAATGAAAATTTTAGCTCAGTTGATATGTGGGTAAATATTTTTGATCACTAAAACTAAAAAAGAGTTTTATTTCCCTAGGTTGACATTTTTTTGACAGTAAATAAATCTACACGAGATCCTAATTTATTTATTTTTTCTGTTGATTTTCGATTTTGCCAGGAACTTGATCTCAAAGTAGCAATTAAGTCTTGTCGCCTCGAGCTAAGTACCAAAAACAGAGAACGATGGTGCCATGAAATCCAGATCATGAAGAAGTAAGTGTACTTAATAACTTAAATTTCCCCAGTTCTACAGCCCAACCAGATGTCATCACAGGGAAAAAGTCAGGCTGGGGCTGTGCATGGTGGCTCAATGCTTGTAATCCTAGCACTTTGTGAGGACAGGGTGGGTGGATTGCTGGAGCTCAGGAGTTTGAGAACTGCCTGAGCAAGAATGAGACCCCATCTGTACTAAAAATAGAAAAACTAACTGAGTATTGTAGCCTGCCCCTGTAGTCCCAGCTGCCTGTAGGTTGAGGCAGGAACATCACTTGGGTCTAAGAATTTGAGGTTGCTATGATGCCATGGCACTCTACTCAGGGCAACCAAATGAGACTATCTCTCTCAAAAAAAAGAAGTCAGTCTGGGTGTGGTAGCTCAGGCCTGTAATCCCAGCACTTTGGGAGGGTGTGGTGGGAAGGTTGCTTGAGGCCAGGAGTTCAAGACCAGCGAAAACCTAATTCTCAAAAAGAAAAAGAAAGAAAAATTAGCCAGGCATAGTGGCACATACTAGTGCTCCTTGGGAGAATGAGGCAGGAGAATTACTTGAGCCCAGGAGTTCAGTGCTATAGTGAGCAAGGCTGATGTCACTGCATGCCTTGGAAACAAAACAAAAGAATTTTTAGTGCCAAGATTGTTTTACAAAAAAGTTAGCTAGGGCACTTGTGCATTGTTGGTAGGAATCTAAATCCATTGTGCACCTACTATGGAAAACGGTATGGTGGCTCTTAAAAAATTTTGAAAATAGAATTAGCATATGACCTGGCACTTCTATTTTGGGGTATATAAATAAATATAAACAAATGAACTGAAAACGGGCTCAGGGAGATTTTTTTTTTTCCTTGAAGAGATTCACCCATGTTCATAGTAGCATTATTCCTAGTAACCAGAAGATGGACTATTATATAGCCCTAAAAAGGAAAGAAATTGTGACACATGCCACAATTGTGCTAAATGAAATAAGCTAGTCGCAAAAAAACCTAACAACTGGCTCAGCGCCTGTGGCTCAAGTGGCTAAGGCGCCAGCCACATACACCTAAGGTGGCGGGTTTGAATCCCCAGCCCGGGCCCACCAAACAACAATGATGGCTGCAACCATAAAATGGCCAGGCGTTGTGGCGGGCGCCTGTAGTCCCAGCTACTTGGGAGGCTGAGGCAGGAGACTTGCTTGAGCCCAGGAGTTGGAGGTTACTGTGAGTGTGATGCCATGGCACTCTACCCAGGGGGACAGCTTGAGGCTCCGTCTAAAAAAAAAACAAAAACAACACCTAACAACTGCACTATTCCATCTATGTATGTTAAGCAGAGTATTCAAATTCATAGCAAAAAAGTAGAATGGTGTTTGCCAAGGGGCAAAGGAGAAGAAGAATTGTTTTTTTTTTTTAAGCCTTTTAATTTTTATTACTCAAAAAAGCTTCATTTTCTTATTTAGCTTTCTGACTCTGTGCTTGTGCCTTCAACACTTTCACAAGAATTTTCTGCTCCTCGGTGAGGAAAGCACACTTGATCCTATTGCGAATACATTTAGCACACATGGAACCACCCTAGGCCCTGCTCACATGTTCTTTCGTTTTGAACAACCTCATAAGAACTTTAGGTCTCACAGCATGAACCCTTTGAAGTCTGCCTGAGCACATGCCACATGCAGATTTTGGTGCTTTCCACCTTTCTTGGTATAAAGGTAAACCATTCTATTACCAGGGGTTCAGGACAGCCTAGTTTTGTTAGAGGCTATATTGTAGGAAAGCCTGTGACAGTATGTCAAACACTGCACCATTCTGAGTGCCTCTAGACAGCGTCCCCCCAACAGTTATTTTTAATAGTCACAGAGTTAAAGTTTTGTAAAGTTAGCAAAGTTTTGTACATGGGTGGTAATAATGTTAGTGAAACAATATGAACATATTTGGTGTCAGGCTGGGCGTAGATCCTAGCACTCTGGGAGGCCGAGGCGGGTGGATTGCCTGAGCTCACAGGTTCAAGACCAGCCTGAGCCAGAGCAAGACCTCATTTCTAAAATAGCTGGGCATTGCAGCAGGTGCCTGTAGTCCCAGCTACTTGGGAGGCTGAGGCAAGAGAATTGTGTGAACCCAAGATTTTGAGGTTGCTGTGAGCTATGACACCTCAACACACTACCAAGGGCAACAAAGTGAGACTCTGTCTCAATAATAAATAAATAAAGGAGAAAAAAAAGAATATATTTAATGTCACTGAATTGCATATGTAAAAAATGATTACTAAGTTGGTAAATTTTGTTACATGCATTTTACCACAATAAAAAGTGTTTCATTTTATTTAAAAAAAAATGGTCAGCTAGGTATTATCAGACTCAGCTCTCTGAAGAGAGAACTGTCTTCTGGATCTTCGGCAGTGTTCATTTATTATACTTTCTAGTTAAACAGCAATCACTACTAAGTTTTTTTGGCACCTAGTTTTGTTATTGTATATATTGCTTTGTAAAAAATTACCCCAAAATTCAGTCCCTAAAACAACAAAAATTTTAGTATCTCACAGTTTGTATAGCTTAGGAATTTGGGATTGGCTTAGCTAGGGGTTCTAGCCCAGGGTCTCTCCTGAGACGTCTCAATGTTTATATGTTTACTGGAGCTGCTATAATCTGAAAGTTTGACGGGCTGGAGTATCTCCTTCCAAGCTCACTTACATGGCCATTGGTGAGAGGCATTTGTTCCTTACCATGTGGCACTCTCTATAGGAACCTTGAATGTCTTCATGACATTGCAGCTAGCTTTCCCCATAGTGAATGATCTAAGAGAGAGAGTGCAAGATGGAAGCTCTCATATCTTTCATAATCTTTCCTTAGAAGTCACACTCCATCTTTTCTACCACATTCTTTTTGTTACAAACGAGTCATGGCCTGCATTCAAAGGGAGGAGAGTTAAACTCCTGAAAGGAGAAATAGACATATTTTAAAATTGCTTCAGAAAGTGTGCTAAGTCCTTTACAGATCATTTTTATAATTATCACAGCAATTTTATATTTTGGTATTATCTCTATATTGTAGATGAAGAAATTAAAGCTCATGGAATCACACAACTAATAGAGTCTAGATTTGAAATGAGCATTATCTGACTCCAGTGTCTGTGCCCAATTTACTTTAATGGTTTTCAAACCTAGCTAATGTGGCAGAATCTCCAGGAAAGCTTAACAATATAAACTCTCAGGCCCTTCACATGAAGTTTGTTTCTTTAGACCCCTAGGACATGAGAATCTCTTCATGTTTTGGTAACCACTGCCATCATGATCATGATGACTGGGATATGATATATTATTAAGTTTTGTTTGTTTGTTTGTTTGTTTTATTAACAACAAGACCCCAGGCAGGGTTTGAACCTGCCAGACTTGTTGCAGAGGGCCAGTGCTCTATCCACTTAGCTCTCAGCACCCAGCCCGTTATTAAGTTTTTTGGTTTTTATTTTAATTGAGACAGAGTCTTACTTTGTCACTCTTGGTAGAGTGCCATGGCTCATAGCTCCATTATTAAGTTGTTTTTTTTCTTTTTTTTTTTTTTGAGACAGAGCCTCAAGCTATCACCCTGGGTAGAATGCCGTGGCATCACAGCTCACAGCAACCTCCAACTCCTGGGCTCAAGCAATTCTTCTGCCTCTGCCTCCCAAGTAGCTGAGACTACAGGCGCCCGCCACAACACCCGGCTATTTTTTGGTTGCAGCCATCATTGTTGTTTGGCGGGCCCAGGCTGGATTTGAACCCAACAGCTCCGGTGTATGTAGCTAGTGCCTTAGCTACTTGAACCACAGGCGCTGAGCCCATTATTAAGTTCTTTAAAAACTTAGATGGGCGGTGCCTGTGGCTCAAAGGAGTAGCGTGCTGGCCCCATATGCCAGAGGTGGCAGGTTCAAACTCAGCCCTGGCCAAAAACTGCGAAAAAAAAAATAAAAAACTTAGCACCTGAGTACGGTGGCTCACACCTATAATCCCAGCACTTGGGACACTGAGGCGAGTGGATTGCCTGAGTTCATAGGTTTGAGTCCAGCCTGAGCCAGAGCGAGACCACATCTCAAAAAATAGCTGGGTGTTTTGACAGGTCCCTGTAGTCCCAGCTACTTGGGAGGTTGAGGCAAGAGAACTGCTTGAACCCAAGAGTTTGAGGTTGCTGTGAGCTGTGACAGCATTCTACTGAGGCTGACAAAATGAGACTCTGTCTTAAAAAAAAACCTTAGAAAGCAGTATACTATAATGTGATTCACTATGGTATGTACTGAAAGATTTGTGTACGGATTAAAAACTGGAAGGGAATATACCCAAATTTTAGTAATGTTCATCTCTGGGTAACATTGTAAGTAATAATGGAAGAGATAGCATGGTATAGGCTTTGGAGCCAGACTGCCTGATTTGAATCCTTACTTGACTACCTAAAAGATCTTGTGGGATCTTTTTATTTTTCAATTTTTTAAAAATTAAAAACATTTGTGTTTCTGTCATGTTTATCTGGGATAGCTATGTAAATTTATGTTGCCTAACTAGTGTGCTTTAGTTTTTTCCATGTGATGAAAGTGTTAATAAGTCTACCTATAACCAGATTATTATGCCAAGTAATTGAGTTAATATACATAAAGTGTTTACTGCTTGACATATAGAAATAGTAGTAATAGTAATGGTATTTTTATGCATATTTTATTTTAAAAATTGTTAATTTTTAGTTATAGAAATTAGAATATTATAAATAATACCAATCTTCCTTTCTTCCCCATCTCTACCCCCTTAACTGCCATACCAAATGTACTCCCTTTTCATTGGAAAAAATATTTTAATTATGTTTTCCCCTTCTTGTTAGGTTGAACCATACAAATGTTGTAAAAGCCTGTGATGTTCCTGAAGAACTGAATATTTTGATTAATGATGTGCCTCTTCTAGCAATGGAATACTGTTCTGGAGGTGATCTCCGGAAGGTAGTGTGGATGTTTTAAGATGAGAGTTAGTAAATCACAAACATTAGCAGTGTTTGAATTAAATCGAATATGATAATCTAGAATAAAGATTGGAAAACTATGGCCTAATATCTGTTTTGTAAATAAAATTTTATTGAAATACAGCCATGCTCATTTCTTTTTTTTTGAGACAGAGCCTCAAGCTATCCCCCTGGGTAGAGTGCCGTGGCATTACAGCTCACAGCAACCTCCAACTCCTGGGCTCAAGCGAGTCTCCTGCCTCCGCCTCCCAAGTAGCTGGGACCACAGGCGCCCGCCACAATGCCCGGCTATTTTTTGGTTTCAGCCGTCATTGTTGTTTGGCGGGTCTGGGCTGGAGATTCGAATCCGCCACCTTAGGTGTACGTGGCTGGCGCCTTAGCCGGTTGAGCTATAGGCGCTGAGCCCATGCTCATTTCTTTACACATTGTTTATGATTGTTTCCTTACAGTTGCAGAATCGAATAGTTTTGACAGAGACCTAAAGCCTAAAGTATTTATTTATTATCTAAATAAGTACTTTACAAACACATTGTTTTTACAAATAAGTTATTATGATCTGAATAAATACTTTAGGCTTCACAAAATATTTTTTGACCCCTGATATAGAACATGCATTTTTGTTGTTTAAAAAAATGGGACTATGTTGGGCAGCGCCTGTGGTTCAGTGGGTAGGGCGCTGGCCCCATAACAGAGGGTGGTGGGTTCAAACCTAGCCCCAGCCAGACTGCAACAAAAAAATAGCGCCTGTAGTCCCAGCTACTTGGGAGGCTGTCTCTAAGCCCAGGAATTGGAGGTTGCTGCCATGTGATGCCACAGCGCTCTACTGAGGGCAATAGAATAAGACTCTGTCTCTACAAAAAAAAAAATGCACTGATGGTGTTAGGTCATGTTTGATACATGTGCTGTATCAAAGTTTAAGTGGTTCTAAAAAGTTGTTTTCTCTATTGCACCCTATCTTTCCTATCTCATTTTAAATGTTTTCTTTCCTATCATTCTAAATGTGTTCAAATGTTCACAGATATAATCTTATATACATGTCTGTGAGATATGTCAGCCTTCTCCCATTTCAAATATTTTCTGCTTCATGTTTCTTTTATGAGCTTTCTCATGAAATTTACATGCCCTTAGCATGTATTTGGTAATTTTTTTCCTTCTTATACTTTCTTTATCATAACTTGTTTTCTCATTTGAATACTCTTTTAGAGTGATGTGTGTTCCTATTGCAGTGCAACAATTTACAGTACATTTTCAGATATCTTTTTTTCCTTTTTTAGTTACTCAACAAACCAGAAAATTGTTGTGGACTTAAAGAAAGCCAGATACTTTCTTTACTAAGTGACATAGGTATGTAATCAATATTAAGATGCTTCTTTGGTCCATAAAAGATTTTGCATACTTGGGAACTGTAGATATACAAAGCATATAGATTTTTAACATCTGTAAGAAATTATCTTAAAAATCTAATTTTTACTGTTGATGCTAAGTTAAAACTAGGATATTTTGTTTGTTTTTGGCTAGAAGCTCTTTGTTTAGCAGATGTCCCAATTACTGACCAAAAATGGAAGGAAATGACCTTATTCAATTTTAGTGGCACCACTCAAGTTGATCTTATAATTTAATTTACAGTGGAATTGCATCTCTTTGGGGGATAGGTCATCAAGTCAATTCTTAGGGTGAAAATCTCTGTTTCATCATAATTACTGCTGAAAAATTCCTAAAATAACAAGTATTTAGCCCTTTGGATGAAGCTCAAAAGCCAAGAATTTGTTTCCTCTTATTTTGGTTTTGCTTGTTTTCTTAGGCCATTAGGGCCAAAGTCTAGTTGAAGAGTATTATTTAGATGGGAGGGAAAGGCTGTAAAAGTTATAGGGATCTTTTTAATTGCTTGTTTCATTTCTTTTTAACATTAATTCTAATAAGTTGCGTATATATTGTAATTCTATAGTATTTATTTAATGTTACTATATTTTCTGTGAGTAAAATCTGAACTTCTATTAGTTATATAGTTATAAATTTCAGTATCTAAGAAGATCTGTACAAAGTGTATGATGAATTTTTTTAACTCAGTGTTTTCTGTTACTTCAAAATACATTTTAAACTTTAGGGTCTGGGATTCGATATTTGCATGAAAACAAAATTATACATAGAGATCTAAAACCTGAAAATATAGTTCTTCAGGATGTTGGTGGAAAGGTGAGTGAAACCTGGAAAACTATTTCATGCCTATTGAATATAGTCTGTCTGATACAGTTGGAGATTTGGTATCTTTGCTGTGTACCTATAACATGCGATACTTGTGTGTCAGTCCCCACCACACTGAAGTGTTGTGTTTACTTGTTTGTCTCCTCTGCTAAACAGCAGCTCCATTAGAGAGAAACTATACCTATCTTGTCCATGTGTTTTTTCAGTATAGTTGGCAGTGAATAAATAATTTGTTAACCTTTACTATTTTATTCTTATGAAGCACATCCCAAACATACACATATCCTGAGTCTACTTTAAGAAAAGAAAAAGTCTGTATTTTTAAAAACTCATTCTCTTTCCCCCAAATGCTAAGTTCTATATTTAAAATTTAAAACCTTGGCTCGGCGCTTGTGGCTCAAGTAGCTAAGGCGCCAGCCACATACATCTAAGGTGGCAGGTTCAAATCTAGCCCAGACCCACCAAACAACAATGGCGGCTGCAACCAAAAAAATAGCCAGGTGTTGTGGCGGGCACCTGTGATCCCAGCTACTTGGGAGGCTGAGGCAAGAGACTCGCTTCAGCCCAGGAGTTGGAGGTTGCTGTGAGCTGTGATGCCATGGCACTCTACCCAGGGGGACAGCTTGAGGCTCTGTCTCAAAAAGAAAAAAAAAAAATTAAAACCTTAATTTCTCTAATTCCTAAATGAGTTATCTTGAGAAGAACCAGTAGAGAATTTCCTCTTAAAATGTTTTCATCAATAATTTAAGCAGTTTTCTTATTTCTAACATCTATGTTCCTTTCCAATAAAGAGTTAAAGCTGTGTCTGAACCTTATGCTAATTGTGTTCTCTTTAGTTAGTGAAGATGGTACTTGATCGTTTGGATGGAACTTTGTTTTTTTTTGATCGTTTGGATGGAACTTTGTTTTTTTTTTTTTTTGAGACAGAGCCTCAAGCTGTCCCCCTGGGCAGAGTGCCATGGCATTACAGCTCACAGCAACCTCCAACTCCTGGGCTCAAGCAAGTCTCCTGCCTCTGCCTCCCAAGTAGCTGGGACCACAGGCGCCCGCCACAACGCCCGGCTATTTTTTGGTTGCAGCCATCATTGTTGTTTGGCGGGTCCGGGCTGGGGATTCGAACCCGCCACCTTAGGTGTACGTGGCTGGTGCCTTAGCCGGTTGAGCTATAGGCGCCGAGCCAGATGGAACTTTGTTGATGCTGCTTCTCTTAGAGCTTTTCATGTATGCTTAGTACTGATTATTTCTGCTTTTTTGTTTGTTTGCTTTTTGGGTTTTTTTTTTTTTTTTTGGCTATCCAAAGACTTTGGGACACTCTTGAAGTTAGTTGCTTACTCACATTTAATCTACTCTAAGATGGTATGATGCATCTTCAAGTTTGGAAGCCACTCTTACCTTTGCATTCTAGTTTAATGAATCAAGCTTATTCTGAATACCAAAATAAAAATTAATTGTCGATCTGTGTTTGGATTTTACCAGATATCAAGCATTATGTTATTTGCTTACACTGTTTCATTGAATCCTAATAAAAATTATATGAAATAGGACTGTTAGTAATCCTATTAAAGTGACCTCAGAAAACATGCCTAGGTAAGTGGTGGTGTTTAGACTTGAAACACGTTTGTATTATTCCAAACCCAAGCTTTTCACCGTCAACCCTTCCATACTTTAGAAGGACATTGTTACCTTTCCTTTTCAAATTTCTTGACCATTTAGTACTTACTCTGTCTTATTTTTCAGGTAACACATAAAATAATTGATCTGGGATATGCCAAAGATGTTGATCAAGGAAGTCTATGTACATCGTTTGTGGGGACATTGCAGTATCTGGTGAGACCTGTATTATTTCCTTGAATTTAACTGTATAAGATTCTTACTATTTCTGAAGGTCATGAATATAGTAGTTCAAAAATAAAGTAGCCTTTTTCACAAAGTGTTGGCATTTATACATTTTCTTTTTTTTAAGGCCCCAGAGCTCTTTGAGAATAAGCCTTACACAGCCACTGTTGATTATTGGAGCTTTGGGACCATGGTGTTTGAATGTATTGCTGGATATAGGCCTTTTTTGCATCATCTGCAGCCATTTACCTGGTAAGAAATAAATTAGAACTTAATAAAGAATGGAAATTTTTTCAGTTGTCTGTCTTTTTCTTTCTTTAATGATCTGCCTTTTAAACACACAGTTGAGTAAAACTGAATGGCAAGAAATCTTAGTGTGTTTATAGAGTCAGGTTGTCAACTAAGGTAGTTTTTATTTTTGTAGGCATGAGAAGATTAAGAAGAAGGATCCAAAATGTATATTTGCATGTGAAGAGATGACAGGAGAAGTTCGGTTTAGTAGTCATTTGCCCCAACCAAATAGCCTTTGTAGGTAAGTGTATTTTAGTTGAAGAAGTTTGCCTGAGTTTCTCTAAGATTGTAAAAGAATAATAGAATAATTGTCTGTTTCAAGTAGCATTATCCAGTAGAACTTTTGTCATGATAGAAATGTTCTATATTTCTCTTGGCCATAGGAAGCAATTGAGCACTTGAAAGGTGGCTAGTGTGACTGAGCAATTGAATTTTAAATAAAGAGGAAATGTAAATATCTACATAGTGTCTGTCCAGTATAGTGACTATCATATTAGACAGCATAGGTCCAGTCAAAATGCTGCTGTTTAACTGAGTGGCTTAGGTGCTAAAAAGACTCCTGGATGCTGAAATAAATGGGATCCTTGGAGTATGGAATTGGACTCATCTTTTTTTTATTTTTTTATTTTTTTTTTGGCAGTTTTTTTGGCCGGGGCTGGGTTTGAGCCTGCCATTTCCAGCATATGGGGCCGGCGCCCTGTTCCTTTGAGCAACAGGAGCCGCCCCTCCCCCCTTTTTTTGACTCATCTGTTGGAGTTACTAACTTATATATGTGGAGTTTTATGTGTTTTTTATGGAAAAAAGTTTGTCCTCTGTCATTTCATAAATTATTCAAAAGTAAGATATAAAAGGATACAGACAAGTCATGGAAAAAGAAATGGACAACCTATTAAAAAAAAAACATTGTTAACAATACTAAAGGAAAATTGAGACAATGATTTTTCACCCTATTTTTGTACATTTTCTAGTTTAATAGTAGAACCCATGGAGAACTGGCTACAGTTGATGCTGAATTGGGACCCTCAGCAAAGAGGAGGACCTATTGATCATACTTTGAAGCAACCAAGATGCTTTTTATTAATGGATCATATTCTGAATTTGAAGGTTAGTTTTAATGGACTCTACTTCTTAAGACCTGCATTGGAATTAATGAGTATATTTGAAAATGGGTGAAAATATATTTTAACAGTCTTTTCCTGAATATTTATATGAAACATAAAATGAAATTCTTAGAGCTGATGCTTTTTTATTTCTTTAGTAGGCTTTCTCAGTTTGCTTCTGTGTGGGCTTTGTTGATTACTCCTTCAGAGCATCTTCTTGGTTTTCCCTTCTCATGTTGTTGCCATTATCACCTTATTCATTTAAGTCTAATTATACTGGATTTGGTTCAGTGAGGAACGTTCTTACCTGGCTTTCATGTCTCTATAATTATTCCTGTGCTGTAGTCCATGCAACATGAACTGCCTTTTTCATTTTCTGAAAATGCTTTTTGGTTCTGTCTAAGAAACTAACATAGTTCTTTTTTGCCTACCAAGTCACGTGGAAACTGATCTGCTTGGCTTCTTTGGGCTTTCCCAAATAGATGTTGCCTTGTACGTGCTTCTCTTAACCTTTACTTCACTTGGAACTAACTTGTTACCACTCCTTATGCCTCAAGCCCGTTATCCATCTTTGTGCTTTGGCAGATGCTATCTTTCTGCCCCATATGATCTCCATCTGTGTGCATCTCTTCACCTACACTGGCATATCTTCAATACCTTTTCAAAAATGGTATCTGCCATACAGTTTTGTCCCTTAATCATATTTACTTTGTTCTCCAATTATTTATCATCTTCTCCTCCTGCCTATCCCTATAGATAACTCTGTATACCCACAAACAACTCTCATCTGTAGTCCTTTACATTGATTATAATACCTACCAAATTTTGCCTTGTATTTTATTTCTCCTAGTGTATCTTAATATTTTCTATTTGATGATAATCATATAGAGATTAAAGAACTTATATATGATTGCCCACTACCATCACTGCTACATACAGGTGTGTACCAGAGTAGGTACTCTATTTGAGTAAACAAAAATATAAATTTAGGTTGTATTTTCTCTTTTCCTTTCTTCTTTTTTTTTTTTTTTTTAGAGACAGGGTCTTTCTCTGTCATTCAGACTGGAGTGCAGTGGCATGATCAGAGCTCACCGCAGGCTTGAATGCCTGGACTCAAATAGTCCTCCTAGCTTAGCCTGCCAAAGTGCTGGTAGTGCTCACAAGCATGAACCACTACACCCGGCCCTCCTCCTTTCTTTTGCTCTCTTCTGGTTTGGAGCATTGGTAATGGGTTGCCATAATACCTTACCCTACTTTGACACATGGCCAGGGTAAAAGTAAATGTCTACTGTAGGAATTTTAAGTTTCTGCTATTGCTGTTAGTGGCAGTTGTCATAGTGTAAAATCTGCCTAGACTGGAAAGGCATGTAAAGTCTTAGGTAGTATACTTGTATTGTAAATCCATGTCAATTTTGAAGATTTCCCTCTTGCTCCCTTTTAAATATAAAAAGTTATTGTATATCAAAGGAAAGTCTCTTAATAATATGCTAAGAGAAATATTGATATAATTTTATTACAACATTTGGAATTTACATTAAAAAGATCAGTTTCAGGGCAGCACCTGTGGCTCAGTGAGTAGGGCGCTGACCCCATATACCGAGGGTGGTGGGTTCAAACCCAGCCCCGGTCAAACCGCAACAGAAAAATAGCCGGGTGTTGTGGCAGGCACCTGTAGTCCCAGCTACTCGGGAGGCTGAGGCAAGAGAATTGCCTAAGCCCAGGAGTTGGAGGTTGCTGTGAGCTGTGTGACGCTGCCACGGCACTCTACTGAGGGCAGTAAAGTGAGACTCTGTCTCTATAAGAAAAAAAAATCAGTTTCAAGTTATAAAAACAATTTGGTGTTCCTGTAGCACCACTTAAATTGAGGATCTGTGTCAGGAAAAAGCTTCTGAACCACAAAGAAAGTAAACAAAATAAGCAATCAATGGAGTGGGGAAAAATACCTGCATATCATTCCTTTGATAAGAGGTTAACGTCTAAAATATATAAGGAATTCATACAATTCAATACCAAAAATATAAATAATACAATTAAAAAATGGAGCAAAGGACACTTCTCAAAAGAAGAAATTCAGATAGCTCACAGGCATATAAAAAGGTGCTCAACAACTCTAATCATAAGGAAAATGAAAGTCAAAACCACAATAAAGTACTGTCTCACACCTATTAGGACAGCTGTCAGAAAAAGGTAAAAAATAAATGTGGTGAGGATGTGGAGAAAAGGATCCCTTGTACAATGTTAGTGGGAATGTACATTAGTACAGCCATCATGGGAAACAGTATGGAGATTTCTCAAAAAAATAAAAATAGGGCTACTGTATGATCCAGCAATCCCATTTCTGGGTATATATTGAAAAGAATTGAAAATAGGATTACTAAGATGTATCTGCACTCCCATGTCATTGTAGCATTATTTACAATAGTCAAGATGTGGAAACAGCCTAAATGTCCTTTGACAGATGAATAGTTGGGGAAAATATGGTATATATACAATGTGATATTATTTAGCCTTAAGAAAAAAAAAGGAAGGAAATCCTGTCAGCACGTCCTTCAGGTAAAATAAGCAAGACAGACAGATATCTCATTTATATGGAGAATCTAAAATAGTCAAACTTACAGAAGCAGATAATAGGATGGTGGTTGCCAGGGGCTGGGAGAAGAAGGGAGAATCTAGTGGTCAAAGAGTACAAAAAATGGCAACTATGGGCTCAGTGCCTGTGGCTCAAGTGGCTAAGGCGCCAGCCACATACACCTGAGCTGGTGGGTTCAAATCTAGCCC